TTTATTGTTGATATTATGACAGAAAGGTGTCACGAACGATGAGCTAGCTCACGTAGAACTAATTTCAAATGAATTTATCAATAATAATAAAATTGTATATTCGAAGGATGTTCCATTAGCTGTCGCAAAGGCCATTCATGGTCTTCGCGCTGTATTTGGTGAGGTATACCCTGATCCTGTTAGAGTAGTATCCATAGGATATGATGTGAACGATATCGTGCAGGACGTATCAAATCCAAAATGGGGTGATACTTCGATAGAATTTTGTGGCGGAACGTAAGTATTAAACGCCTGATATATTATTTATTTATTAGAACTTCAATCGCTTATTTTTTTGCTATGTTTAAGTCACGTTGCAAAAACCGGTGATATCAAAGGTTTTGTTATTTTGGAAGAATCTGGTATTGCTAAAGGCATTCGTAGAATAGTCGCTGTGACCGGAGAAGAAGCTCAGCAGGTGCCATATATATATATATATCGAACATATTTGAGTTTTATTATTTAGTCTTCCCAATTTACTTAATTCTATCAAATTGTTTCAATAGGCTATTAAAATTGCTGATGAGTTCCGAATCAAAATTGATAAGATCTCAAAATTACAAGGGGCAGAATTGGATTCTGCACTTAAACAAGTATCAAAAGAACTTGATGCTTCAGATATATCGTCATTAAAAAAATCAGAATATCGTGAAACGTTAAATGAACTAAGAAAAGCCTTTAATGATTCTGACAGGGCCAGGAAAGCTGCACAAACAAAAGAGGTATTTACATATATTTACATATATATACAGTCAGACCTCGATATAATCGTCAGGTTGGGAACCAAAATTTTGGTGATTATAAAAGTTATGGTTATATGAAGGTCAAATTTTATGTTTTATAATAGCTAGATCAAAAAAATAGTGTGATTATAACGAGGTTGTGACTAGGGTTCTGCAAATGCCCATGCCAGGCAAATTAGGCATCAGGCCAGGCACTAGTATCTTGAGCCGTGCCTGTGTTCTTAGGCACAATTGCCAAACACATTATGGGTACGGGCAAGCACTATAAGGGCACAGGCACTAAGTGACAACTTATGCCTGGTACTTCACATCTATACTTGTGAAAGTTCTTGGCACATTTTTGTATCTATGCCCGTGCCAACCCATTCCTGTGACCATGCCCATGCCAAATTTTTGTGTATGTACCTATGCCCATGTCTAAGATTTTGTGCCTGCGCCCTGCTATGCTTTTTGTTAGGCATGAGCCCGGCCTACAGATCCCTAGTTGTAACTATATTAATAGTGACTATAACGAGGTCTGACTGTGTAGTATTTTTAATTTTCATTAAGTATACTGACTTACATTACTTGTTTTGACAAATTAGGTTATAGATATAATAAATAATTATTTTGAAAAAAATCCTAATAGTCCGTATATCATCAAATTACTAGATGTTGGGTCAAACACAAAGGTCAGTAAAACTTGTAAATTATTTAATATACCCACGTTTATTATTATTGTTCTTTAATGTTTTTATCATTATAATATTTACAGGCTATTGCTGGTGGTATCTCACATTGTAAGACAAACTTAAAAGACAAGGCTGCTTACTTATTTTCGGTTGATGAAACTTCAAGTCGTGTAGCTCATAGTTGTATTGTGGGTAAGCATTTAGTTAATAAAGGACTAAAAGCTGCTGATTGGGCTAAAGCCGTATCTGAAAGTGTTGGTGGAAAGGTATGTAGAATATTTATTTTTCATTTTACAAAAGAAATTATTTAGATTATTTGTTAATTTATTGTTTTAAAGTCTGGAGGTAAAGATGATGCAGCTCAAGGCAGCGGAACAAATGTTAATGAAATTGATAATGCATTAAAAGTTGCAGAACAATTTGCTAAACTTCAATTGTCACTATAGATTGTAATATAAACAATTGATATTGTTGAGGTAAGTTAATAATAATAATTAGTGTATATAATTAGAAAAATAATAGAGATTAGTTAAGTAAATACTGATTGTGCTACACACTATATAATTACTATATGTTTGTTTATTATAAAATTAAATCGTATTAGTGGTATTTAATAATATAGTTATTAGCTAAATAACTATATATATAGTATTCAATATTTTAAATAAAAATACATCACAGTACCGTAAATTGCCATATACAAGATCCACCATGAATTAGATCCAAGTGCGAATCACAAAATCTATATTAATGCATTTTTTTTAAATATCCAGACTGCCTATTATAAGTGCAATATATACTGCACATGATCTTTAAAATTTTTCATAAACTCTCAGCCGCATACTGACTGGGGTTTACAATAGGTTTTAAAACTAGTGGATCCGACATGGTGTGATCCGTAGATTGACAATTCACATATCTGTTCAAATCCCCAGTAAATTCTTACGGATTGTCGATATTCAGACAATCCAGTTAATCCATTCAACAGGGATGGTAACGACCAGGTCATTTGCCTGTTTTGCAAATGACTAAATTTTATTAGTCGACTAAACTAAAAATAGAAATAATAAACATATAAACTAGTGTTGTGCATTATGTGCATGAAAATATTATAGACTTTTTGAACCTTATAATTCGGACCACATTAGCAGCAAGCTGCCATAATGCGGGCCAGAATTTATAATGCAGGCCAAAATTCTATATGCATAAAATTTGAAAAAACTAATTTTTCTAACACTGATATATATAGACTAATAATTAATCAAATATTTTGATTGGTTGACTAATAAACTGTAGTTTTATTATATTTACTTTATATATTATACAACTAGTTAACTAGTTATAAAATTAGTCAATTAACTAGTCAAATAAAAAATTTTAATTGATTTGGATTAATAGTTGGCATTAAAATTTATATAATCTTCTTACTAGAATATTCATCTAATTAACTAATTAAATTAATTAATAAAGAATTATATTATTAGGATTCCAAGATTTGATTTGAGTTTGATTTGAGTTTGATCAAACTTTAAATCAAACCAAACTCAAACTATAAATTTTATAAAATTTGAATTTAAACTCAAAGTTAAACATGAAATAATCAAATTCAAATCAAACCCAAATATTATATTTGAGTTTAATTCAGGTTTGATTCAAAGTTTGCAAACTGTTTGAGTTTGAATTAATAATATGAAATTTAATTATATAAATTTTTTTTATTGTTTTTAGAATTTTTAAATTTGAGATATTTTAAAAAAATCTTTTTTTTTTACTAAGTAACCCTATTTTCAACTTCTAAGAAAAGTTGTAAAGGAGTATCTTGCAATTAGAATAATAGTTAAAATGTTAAAATTTGTCTAGTAGATCGTAAGATATAAGTAATTTAGTTCTCATGACTATATATTTTTTTCTTTATATAAATAAAAAAGAAACAAATAGCCATTAAGACAAAAATACTTATATCTCATGATTTACTGGGCTAATTTTAATTATTTAACTACAATTTTGATCACAAGTCATTTATCTACAAATTTTATTAGAAGTTAAAGAGATATTTACTTAGTAAAAATTTAAAATCAATATCATTTTGTATAATTTTATTAATAAAATTATGAAAAATATTATAATTCTCAAAATTTTACTAATTAATTATATCTTTATGCTCTAAGTAACCTTGTTCTTCACATAAAATTACACTATATTAATATATATTTACTTTATAATTTTAAATCTTAAGAAAAAATATTTATAATTTTAAAAATTTTGATCAAAAATTCAGTATTATTTTCTTAAATTTTATAAATATAAAGTAAATATATACTGATATAATGTATTTTTATGCATAGAATAAGTTTATTTAGAACATAAATATATAATTAATTAATAAAATTTTGATGATTATATAACTTTTTATAATTTTATTAATAAAATTATAAAAAATATTATGATTCTTAAAGTTTTACTAATTAACTATATCTTTATATTCTAAGTAAACTTGTTCTACATATAAAACTACATCATAACAGCATACGTTTATATTATAGTTTTAAAATTTAAAAAAGAGATTCTTAATTTTAAAAATTTTGATCAAAAATTCAAAATTAAGTATATTTTTTTTAAATTTTGCAAATATAAAGTAAATATATATCAATATAATATATTTTTATATATAGAACAAGTTTACCTAGAATATAAATATAGAATTAATTAATAAACTTTTAAGGATCATATAATTTTTCATAATTTTATTAATAAAATTATAAAAAATATTATAATTCTTAAAATTTTATTAATTAATTCTATATTTATACTCCAAATAAACTTGTTTTATATATAAAAATACATCATATTAGTATATATTTACTTAATATTTGTAAAATTTAAAAAAAATATGCTTAATTTTGAATTTTTGATTAAAATTTTCAAAATTAAGAATATTTTTCTTAAAATTTAAAATTGTAATATAAATATATACCAATATAATGTGTTTTTATATATAGAAAAAGTTTACTTAGAATATTAAGATATAATTAATTAGTAAAATTTTGAGAATTAAAATATTTTTTATAATTTTAATAATAAAATTATGCAAAATATTATTAACTTTAAATTTATACCAAGTTAATCTTTCCTTAACTTCTAATTAAAGTTATAGAGAAGTGTCTTGCAATTAAAAAGCAGTTAAATCATTAAAATTGGCTCAATATATCATGAGATATAAGTATTTTTGTCTTAATAGCTATTTGTTTCTTTTTTATTTTTTCATTTATATAAAGAAGAAAATATATAGTCATGAGAACTAAAATACATATATCTCGTGATCTACTAGGCCAATTTTAATATTTCAACTGCTATTCTAATTGTATAATATTCTTTTACAACTTTTCTTAGAAGTTGAAAATAGATTTACCTAGTAAAGAAAAAAGATTTCTTTAAAAAATTCTAAATTTGAAAATTTAAAGACAAAAAAATTTTTTCTATATTTTGTTACTAAACTACTACTAAATCTGAATATGTTTATAAACTTTAAACATGTTTATGAACTTTAAACTAAACCTGAATGAACCAAAACTTTAAGTTCAGGTTCAGTTCAGATTCATAAATTCAAAGTTCAGTTCAGGTTCAGGTTCAATGATCTGCAAAATTTGTAGTTTATATTCAGGTTTAGTTCAGGTTCATTGAACCTGAAATGAACTAAACTGAACTTAGAAACACTACTATTCTCATAGAACAGTTGGTAGTGCCTATTTCTACTACTGAGCAGTCTGTATAGAAAGTAAATATTTGTGTATTTAAGTTGTTAAGAATATTTGTATAAGTGTTTGATATACTTTATTGTTGTGAAAAGGATAAAAGCTAGAGTGTCTATAATATTGATATTGGGTAAGGATAGAATTATAATAGGGTATTTGATTGCTGTAGAGTACAAAAGGTCATTGTAATTAGCATTTAGTTTTAGTTGTTTGTTGGCTATTTTCCTGTCTAAAAACTGCATAAATAGGATTGTAGATACTTCAATAGTGCAGTAGTTAATTAGATAGTTAGTGTTTAGGCTACAACCTGTATATATGATAGGTGATAGGGGGTATAGTAAATGATGAAAACTTAATTGCTTAATTGCATTGCCTTAGTATTTCTATAAACCTGAACTGAACTAAACTTTAATCAAGTTCAGGTTTAGGTTTAGTTTAATTATATTCAATATTGAACTTTTAAGTTAAGTTCATATTTAGTTTAGGTTTAGTATTGAACTTTTAAGTTAAGTTCATATTCAGTTTAGGTTGAGTTTAAAGTTATGAATATGTTCAAAGTTTATGAATATTTTCAGATTTAGTAGTAGTTTAGTGGCAAAATATAGTAAAAATTTTTTTGTTTCTAGAATTTTTAAATTTGGAATTTTTTAAAGAAATCTTTTTTTTTTACTAAGTAAACCTATTTTCAACTTCTAAGAAAAGTTGTGAGGAATATCTTGTAATCAGAATAGCAGTTAAAATGTTAAAATCAGCCTAATATATTGTGAAATATAAATATTTTAGTTCTTGTGACTATATATTTTATTCTTTATATAAACTAGGAAAACAGGTGCTGTTGGTATCTGAAGCTCTTAATTTTACGAGATTTTCCATTTTCTCAGGCTAATCCGTGTTGATCTGTTATATTAATTTAAACTTTAATTGGATATATATTACGTGAGCAGAACCCAAGACATTTTGTGCATTTACATTTTCATTGTAAGTCCTTGCTATGCTTCAGACAATAAAGAAGAAACAAATAGCTATCAAGACAAAAATACCTATATCTCATAATCTACTAGGCTGATTTTAATGATTTAACCACTATTTTGATCTTAAAACATTTCTCTACAATTTTTATTAAAAGTTAAAGAGAAAGTTACATAGTAAAAATTTAAAATCAATAATATTTTGCATAATTTTTTTTTTTTTTTGGCATTAAGGTGACCTCTATGGCTAGGGACTTTTAATTAGGCTTATTAACTTCAGGTTATACTAATATATATAACCCATATGTAGTCACCAAATAAAAGTAGTATTATATTGAAAAACCTACAAGGCAATTTGTTAAGCATATTTGTAAATCAAAAACTGTAGCAATATGGTTCTCACAAAAACACAACACAGAATAGGAAGAACTTACCCAGGAAATTGATTAGAACTCAACATAGTGCTACCTTAACAATAACCAAAAAGTTACATCTAGTATTACATCTTCTAAGCTAAACTATTCAGAAATAAAAATATGCTAAGTAACCTGCTTATATATTTACACTTCAATTGCATAATGCCCAGAATATATCAAGCCCCACTTGCTTTTCATGTGGCATTCTTGACTCATATAATCACTGGTTTACATGCTCCAGCCCCCAAATACTTAATAATATTATACAAACCTTTATTACAAAAATAGTATACAAAGAGCTAGCAGAAAA